ATCACTGCAAATCGGGTAAATTGTGGCCCGCTTCCACCTGACACACAGGAGAAGTTCCTTAAAACTGACACATCGTTTTAACTCAGCATTGTTGCTCCACAGGCGAACCGTTCCAGGAAGCCTTAGCTCAGACTTTACAAATCCCAGATGGGTTGGAATTTGTTCCGTTGGAGGGGGAAAAAATCTGTATTCCCTAGCAGATGCAGCGAGGACGGTTCTGTGAGTCACCGCTGCCACCTTCCTGCTTTTCAGCATGAAAAGGACTTTTCTGCAAGTTCTGTGCAACTTGAGTTGAAAATGTGAAAACAGAACCAGGAGGCACAGTTTTCCCACCAAGCGGAAATCTCTTCCAAACTCTGTGTGTGGCGCTGTGAGAGCTGAGCTCCCGATGTGCACAGGCCTGGGGAGCTGAGCAGGCCGGGGGACACTCCCCACGTCCCCTCCTGTCCCTGAGCGAGCACGTGGATGAGAGCAGCCCCATCGCTGAGGACCTTCACGGAGGACTTTGGAAGATATGTGAATGGCTGCTTTGGTACAGCAGCTAACGGTGCTGTGGTTAGTCTATTACACCTTGTGCTAGTTACAGGTGAAGATGCGAAACAGGTCTAGACCCTCTGTCCCTTCCCTGACAGCCCAGAGCCTGGCCCTGCTCCCGTGCGCACTGTATCACATGGACACCATGCCCATCTGGCGCTTGGCCAACTTGCATATCCATCTGAGTCTGATAAGGACGGAGCAGACACACTGATCTGAACAGGGAAAGCATCATATACAAACCCAGTAAAGTGTCATACACAAACCCAACAGCTGACTGCTGAGAACTGTAGAGGACCCAAAAGACAACTTGGGTACAAGAGCTACATGAATAAGGAAGTACTCCAGAGGCTGGGAAGGTATAAGAAGAGACCCAGGATGAAATCCAAGAGTTACGGGGCTTCATGCTGCCAGAAATCTGCCCATGCCTCCCACTAGAATGTTCTGCTATGACCACCAATAAACACACAATTCTCTCTCCTTTCCTACTTTCTCTTCTTCTCTACAAAGGGATTCATTTAGATAGTTCTCTATTTTTTGTGGGGATTTTTTGGCCAAAAAATTATTATATTCCATATATCAGATTATTTATAATTTATTGCTTTTTCTGAGATAATTTATCGTTCGGTGAGCTTAAGCACTTAGATCTGCTCAAGGTGATAAGATGAGCTTATTCAGACTTTAAGCTTTTAAGTATAGCTGCTTGGGAAATAAATTCAATAATGAGGGTGCTGAAGAGAACTCATCTCCATGGGGAGAGATAAACTAGGATTGTAGGTAAACAGAGCTACTACAGAGGGCTGGAAGGTGGCTCAGTGGTAGAGTGCTTGCTTTGCATGCATGAGGCCCTGGGTTCAATTCCTCAGCACCACATAAGCTGAAAAAGCCAGAAGCAGAGCTGTGGCTCAAATGGAAGAGCACTCGCCTTGAACTGAAGAGATGAGGGACAGTGCCCAGGCCCAGAGTTCAAGCCCCACAACTGACAACACACACACACACATATACACACCAAGAACTACTACAGAGGGTAGGAAAATCATGGTTGTGGGTGTGGGCCTTGGAGTCATCTACTTAGATCATGGTGGTATTTCCATAGTGTGTGTAACGTACTTTGGCTCACCCATTCTATTACTGATTCTTGTCCTCTGCTCCCTCTTCTCCATCTTCTAAATAGTATTTAGTGGATTTCATTATGCTAATTTCTTTTTTTTCAATGCTGATATTGGGGCTTGGACTCAAGGTCTTTGGCTTTTTTGCACTTTACCACTTGATCTCCACCTCCATTTCTAGCTTTTTGGTGGTTCATTGGAGATAAGAGCCTTGCAGCCATTCCTGTCCCAGATGGCTTCAAAACAAGATCCTCAGAACTCAGCCTTCTGAGTAGCTAGAATTCCAGGCATGAGCCACCAGTGAGCTGTCCTTATGCTATCTACATTCATATATTATGTGATTTGATCACAACCCCACCCCTCCCTCCTTCCCTTCTCCCTGCACACTAATTTTTCTCACCAATCAATCTCCCTTTTACATTCATATCATATCATCATCTTCATCACCACCAGCACCACCAGCACCATATTACTTTAGGTCTATGAGCAAAACCATCTGTTACTTGTTAGAGCCTGACCTACCTTGTTCAATGAAACGTGCAATGTGCACGGACATTGGAACATATTTATGCATAAACCAGTCATCATCTTTGCTCAGCTTTTCTCTTTTTAGAGCCTCTGAAACTTTTTTTAACTCCTGTGATTCATCTTGAAATATCACTTAAAAGATACATGCATTTTTTAAGACTGGATTATTTTAAAAAATACGCGAAAAACAAAATGCACAAAAATAAGGCTACCAAGAGTGTCAGAAACTCAGAAAAGGGGCACAGGGACTTGAGCAGATGTCAGCAGGAGCGGAGGCCGGAGGGTGGGCCCGAACCCCATGCTCCTGGCATTCCTGGGGGAAAGTGGGGTGAGGGTCCCCTTCTCCACAGGGAGAAGCAACTCTACAAAACAACAAAACAAGCTGGGCTTCTCCCTGAGGGGAAGTCTGGATCCCATTTTCTCCTTAGACACCAAAGTGGAGAGACTCGGCTTCCAGGGCCTTCAAGGTCCTCTGCAGATGTTTAAGATTGGAAAAGAAAATATTGGCTGCAAGTTACGGAAGAAGATTAATTTATACGTCCACTCTTCATTAATTGTTAAATCGAGTGTACATACAAATCTCACTACATTTGAAAACCATTTGTAAGTTAGATGTTCTCTCTTTGCAAGGATTCACAAGTATGCTGGCAATTGCTAGGAAATAACAGCTAATCAGAAGGTAAATGATTAACCTGAAGTTAAATCATTTCAAGAGCAAAATCACTCAGCCTTCCCAACTACTTTGCAACTCCACTGCACTGTGAAATCACATATTTCCACTCACTGTTTCTGCCTTTTACTTATCCATCATAAACACCAATTCAGAAAAGGAAGAGAGGGAGGAGAGAGGGAGGGAGAGAGAGAGAGAGAAAGAAAAAAAGAAAGAAAGAAAGAGAAAAGCCCATAACATTTCCAGCTGTTTGCTGGTTAATTGGAGCTGTCATTCAGATTGATCTGCCCAGACTGACTGAACCATGATCCTCAGATTTCAGCCTCCTGAGCAGCTACGATTACAACTGTGAGCCACCAGTGCCTGGAGATGAATAATACAGAAACTACCAGATAGCTGGGCGACGGTGGCTCACACCTGTAATCCTAGCTACTCAGGAGGCTGAGATCTGAGGATTGAGGTTCAAAGCTAGTCCTGGCAGGAAAGTCCATGAGACTCTCATCTCCAATAAACCACCAGAAAACCGGAAGTGGCACTGTGGCTCAAGTGGTAGAGTGCTCACCTTGTGAACTGAAAAGCTAAGGGACAGCACGCAGGCCCAGAGTTCAAGCCCCACAACCACCACCACCAACAACAACAACAACAACAACAAAAAAACACCAGCTGGAGCTCAGTTGATAGGAAGAGATTTCCTAGTCGCCAGTGGAACAGAATGCCCTTGAAGTCACAAGACCAAAGTTTCCAGTTCTCCCATTTGTCCCTCTGGCTTTTCCAATCCTACATCTCCAGGTCTCCTTCAATTAAGGGATTTTAAGCAGCTCTTTTTTAAGCCCACCTGTGTTAGTCCGTTTTTATAGTGACAGCAAAGTACTTAAAACTGGGTTACTTTATAAAGAAAAGCAGTCTCTAGCTCACAGTCCCAGAGGCTTGGGCAAGGCACTAGGATCATACATGACAGGGAGACATCAGCTGGCAGACAGGAATCGTGCAGGCGCCCAGCTACCTTTTCCAAATCCTTGCTCTCAAAAGAGAGCAAGGCCTTTCAGAAGGTGGCAACCTAATGACCTCCCGCTGAGCTCTGCCTCTAAGGTTCCACCACTGCCCGCACCCTTGAGGACCAAAGTTCCAATATGCTCTTAGGGGACAAACTCAACTGGTATCCGGACCACACCTTACAAGTGCCCGGATGTTTTATTTTGATTTTAGTGAGCAAGGTGCAGTGAGCTCAATCCAGTTGTGCCCTGCCTGCCTCCTCTCTGCTGGGGAGCAGAACCCTCAGACTCCCCCAGGGGCCTCGCAGACCCCATCCCAGCCTCTGAGGCAGAGGTTCATCATTCTGGCCTCCTCCTAGAGGAGTCACTTGAACAGTTTCTGTGTCAACATTGCTTGAGCTTTCCCGAAAGGCACTGTTAATCTGATCAAAAGCTGGGCTTCCTGATAGTTTAACAAGACATAACTGCCTAGGATAAAGGACCACGTGGATGAGTCAACCTGAAGTCAGCCTGGGAAAAGGAAAGCTCTCTTTCATGAGGTGAAACCCTCTGTCTCTGTAGAGGATTCTAGAATTGGGAACCAGGTTTACAAAGAACAAGCCAACCCATATTCAAGTTCTCAGAAAAATAATATAAAATGCATTCTGCCATATGGAAGCCTTTAGAAAAAGACAAATGAAAGATCCAGTTAGCCAGGCACCGGTGGCTCATGCCTGTAACCCTAGCTACTCTGGAGGCTGAGATCTAAGGATTGCAGTTCAAAGCCAGCCTGGGCAGGAAAGTCTGTGAGACTCTCCAATAAACCACCAGAAAACTGGAAGTGGTGTTGTGGCTCAAGTGGTAGAGAGCTTGCCTTGAGGGACAACGCTCAGGCCCAGAGTTCAAGTCTCACAACCAACAACAACAACAAAAAAAGGTCCAGTTATTCCTTGGCTCTGCAGACACCACTGTGCCTGGCCCCTGTCGGCATGCTTCTTGGGGAGCAGAAATGAGCTCATGTGCCAGCTCTGGGCTAGGAGAAGAAGAGCAGTCCCCACTTCCCACCATACAATCCTTAAATAGGTCATTTGACTACAACTGACTTATCTCACGGCTGTGGGCTGCTCCAAGAAGGGTCCAAGGCTGGTGAAGGGTTCCATTAAGACAGAAGCTCACACTTCCAGTTCAAAGTGGTTTATGACAACTTGTATTTGGTGCCAAGGTTTTCCAAAAGCACAATTTCAACATTAGAATGTGTTCTTCTCTGTATTAATGGTCCACATCTGCAGAGATTTCTCTTCAAGGTTTTCTAAAGTTTCCTCTTTTGAACAAAGAAATCAGAAAGTCCTATCATGCCATTCTTTCTAGCTTCTCTGCATTGGAAACAGATGGAGACATAATTAGTAATTTCTTCCAGCCCACTTAGTACCACTTTGACAATCTCAAAGGTTCCCTTCCAAGCTGGTGGCCGCAATCTCGTCATTGATTCCAACCACCCAAAGCAAAACATCCTATGATCCTGTGTGGGGGGGGGGGGGGGGGGGGGGTGTGGGTGTGATGGTACTAGGATTTGAACTCAGGGCCTTGTACTCTTGTTTGGCTTTTTCTGCTCAAGGCTGGTGTCCTACCACTTGAGCCACAGCTCCACTGCTAGCTTTTTGGTGGTTAACTGGAGTCTCATGGGCTTTTTTGTCTGGGTTGACTTTGAACTGCAACCCTCAGTTCTCAGCCTCCAGAGCAGCTGGGATTACAGGTGCAAGCCACTGGTACCTGAATGGACATTTCTAATTAAACTTTGGAACAGCTGAATCTTGAGGACCAAAGTTGCCAAGAACAGAGGCTGGGAAGATGGCTCAGTGGTAGAGCACTTGCCTTGCATGCCTGAGGCCCTGAGTTCGATTCCTCAGCACCACATAAGCAAAATGAAAAAAGCCGTAAGTGGTGCTGTGGCTCAAGGGGTAGAGCTCTAGCCTTGAGCTGAAGAGCTGAGGGACAGCGCCCAGGCCCAGAGTTCAGGCCCCACAACCGGACCCCAAAAAACAAAACAAAGTTGCCAAGAACACATGGCAACAGGATCCTTCCGGTGACAGGAAGGGGCTCCCTAACTTTCCTGGGGTTCAAGATACGCCTCCTGCCACCCCGGCCAGTGCCCGGACCACCCGTCTGGCCTGCCCCTCTCTTGTCCTTGAGGCAGGAAGGATCCGGGACATCTGTGCCCACACTACCAGGATGACAGGCCCAGTGGTGACCAGCATGAGTCCCCAAGGAGGCGCCAAGAGGTGCAAATGCTCTGGAACCCAAGCAGGAAGCATGTGGGTACGGGGGTGGATGGATGAACGCCGGGGTAAGTAAATGGATTACTAAAGAGTAGTTGCACTTAGGAATTCACTCCTACCTTCAGCCGTTTCATTAACAAGCTAAGGAGGGGGAGTGGGAGAGGCTGGGAGGAGCTGGCAGAGTGGCTTCTCCTTGCCTGCTGCACTGTCATCACCAGCCCAGCCCTGGCCCTGGTGGGTTGATGCATTCCCTCCCCATCGAAGGAGCAATGGCTCCCGGAGCCCTGTAGGCTCAGCTCACTACCAGGCCTCGCCCAGCATGGGGACGCAGTGCTTGGTGGGGGAGCTGGCACGTGTCCTCCCCTGGCCCAGCCTCTATCCTCGGCTCCCTCTCTGTGCCTCCCGGGAGCCCTGGGCCCCATGCAGATGCTGCAGGCTTCAGCCTCCACTTTTCCCATCTCCTGGCCACTCGCTCCTGCAGCCTGATTTCTGTCCCTCTGCGCTCAGGTCACCAGTGGTCACCCATCAAGTGGCTGATGCTGACCACCCACACAGCCGCTCTCTCCCAAGGAGAATCTGGAGGAATAATCAGGGACACGGGGTAGGGTAGCCCAGGCCCATATAATCCCAGCGCGCTGCAGAGGCTGAGGCAGGGGGATCCCAACTTGGAGGCCAGCCTGGGCCGTGGAGGGAAACACTGCAGCTGAGAAAACCCAGAGCTAATGGTGGGAGAGACAGTGAGAAAGGGAGGGGGAGAGAGCAGAGGTGAGGAGGGAGGGGAAGGGCAGAGAGAGAGAGAAGAAAGGTCACTTTTCTTAGTGACAGGATACATCAAGTCTCTCGGCTAAGAACATGGAACCAGAGGCCTGCACTGGTCCAAACCAAGCACAGGGCAGGAAAGGCCGTGCAGCAGTCACCTTCCCTCCACAGTGTCTGACTCCCAGCCTCGCTGAGAGCCGCACTGGGCACCACGCATGCGTCTTCACCTTGGGATGACATTCTCAGAGGAAAGCAGGGAATCCCACCAGGGTCGTACTTACACATTCCCCTTTAAACTAGCAAGATAGGATTCCATCTCAGAGGAAGAGATGCTAGGGTCCAAATTGGCCAAGTAGCGGTAGACATAGGAAAAAGTCTCGAATGGGATCCGAGCAGGGCCTCCCTCGGGGTCCTTGGTGAGGATCTCGCAGAGATGCTTCATGGCGGTGATCAGCGACTGGAAATGGGAAGGCACAGTCACTCTGAGTCCCAAAGTCACTCAGATTTAAAGCCGCAGAAACACTCAAGCTAGTGTCTGCCTGAGCCACAATCTGGTCTTCCCTAAGGGCACACACACGTATCGCTTCCACAACATAAAAGAAAAAGGGGAGCCAGGTGCTGGGGGCTCACGTCTATAATCCTAGCTTCTTAGGAGGCTGAGATCTGAGGATCGCAGTTCAAAGCCAGCCCAGACAGAAAAGTCCCCATGAGACTCTTAATTCCAATTACCCACTCAAAAATCAGAAGTGGCGCTGGGGCTCAAAGTGATAGAGTGCTAGCCTTGAGCACAAAGAGTCTCAGGGACAGCATCTAGGCCCTGAGTTCAAGGCCTACAACCAAAAGCAAGCAAGAAAGGAAGGAAGGAAGGAAGGAAGGAAGGAAGGAAGGAAGGAAGGAAGGAAGGAAGGGAGGGAAAAAAGAAAAAAGGAAGGAAAGGAAGGAAAGAAGGAAAGGAAGGAAGGAAGGAAGAAAGGAAAGAAGGAAGGAAGGTAGGTCGGTCATGTGAATTTGCGTTTGATTGCATATGTAAACATGCATAACTGTCTACGAATAAGACACAGCCTCAGTGTCTTTCAAGATGAACTTTCCTTTGCCCTGTGCTTCTGGGCAGAGATCCGGGGTGTCACGCATGCCGGGCAGGCAGCGTACCACGGAGCTGCACCCCAGCTGGTTAATGAACAACTCTACCCCCAGGGTAGAACCGTGGGGCCCCGTCAGACCCAGAGTGGCCCCCAGGGACTCTCTAGGGAAGTGGGGGAACTTTGTCATGGGGGGGGGTCAGGCCGAGGAGGAGGCCTGTCCCACATGCTTATCGGACAGCCAGGAGTGGGTGGCACCCGCCATGGCCGTGCTGTTCACACTCTGCCCTCACACGGTGCCCATTGCAGTCCCAGAGGAGCCCAGGCCTCCATCCCCTGCTGCCTGGCCACCCCACCATGCTGCCCCACTGCCTGCTCACCAAGATGGTGGCCTCATCTCACCAGCACCCCTTCCGTCACTCCACCTGAAGCTGGGCGCATGTCCTTGTCCCCAAAGTCACATGCCTGTCTATGGGACGCGGTTCCCTTGTCTCCCCATCCTGGTCAGCATGGGAGCCCCCATGGCTCCCTTCACTGTTCCTCGGTCACCCACCTCCAACCCTGTCTGGGCCACTCAGTGATGCTCCAGGCGGGTAGCGAGGGAAGGCATGGTCAGCCCTGTGGAGCGTGCAGATCGTGGGGGCATTGGTGTTCACTGTGAGGGGCCAGCAATAAGGATGGAAGCTGGGAACTCAGCCTGGTGCCACTGGAACCTTCTGGAAGCAGGGGCAAAGTCTGGGCTGAGTTTGTTTTTTTTTTGGGGGGGGGGAGGTCAGTCACAGGGCTTGAACTCTAGGCCTGGGCGCTGTCCCTCAGCTCTTAAGCTCAAGGCTAGCGCTCTACCCCTTGAGCCACAGTGCCACTCCCGGCTTTCTGGTGGTTTATTGGAGATGAGTTTCAAGGACATTCCTGCCCGGGTTGGCTTTGACCTGTGATCCTCAGGTCTCATCCTCCTGAGTAGCTACAGGTGTGAGCCACTGGTGCCCGGCTCTGGGCTGATTTTTAAGGCTAAGGTTACAAGACTCGCTGCTGATTGGGCAGCATGGCATGCGGCAGACAGTAGCCAGTCACTACAGAGCCACTCCACAGTGGGACCCGCGGTGTGCGGGGCTGTGTCTCTGAGCCTGACTGCATCCCCCACCCAGTGGGGGCCAGCTGCCATCCTCCTCACTGGCCCAGGGGCTGGGGGGGGGGGGAAGGGGGACGGGGATTGACCCAGCAGCCCTTCCACCCCACCCCTCTAGCAGCCACGGGGCCAGCTCTCAGGGTGCCAGGGACAGAGTCAGAACCCCTGTCACATTCCAGAACCAAGAGGAGCGCTGAGCCATACTGACCCAGTCACCATCAATGGCTGCTCCGTGGGGTATCCTCCCCACCCCACCCCTGGAAACCCCTTCCCACATTCAGGGTGTACCACGGTGGGGCAGCAGTGTTCTGGTGTGCGTGGGGCTTCAAGGGCTGGGCACTCGCTCAGCAACAGCAGCACAGACGGCGGCCATCTGCCCCGCAGCAACCGCACAAGCCGTGTCTCTGGCTGAGAGATTTGCTAAAAATAAAGCTGTGAGCTTTCTAACCCCTGCTCCTTGCTGGCCCCCTGGAGCTGCTCACAGGGACCCCAACATCGAGAGCTGAGAGTCGTGGGTGGCGCTGCAAGGGTGGCTTGACCACACAGTGGGGGGAGGGGGCTGAGGGCTCTCAGGAGAGGCTCCAGGATCCAGGAGGAAGTGCTCAAGGGAGACACAGCAGACCGTGGCAGCACAGACAGCATGCCACTATCCCGTTCCCTTTCTGACAGGATCTGCAGCAATTTCTATATCTGAAAGGGCGTGTAGATCAGCGTTTCATCTTCTCCCAGGAACACTCGCACGCGCGCGCGCGCACACACACACACACACACACACTTCTCAGCTCCAAAGGGCTGGGCATTTGCTTGCCCAAGAAAGGACCATCTCCTTAGCAGTCAGGCGAACTGCTCTCATAATGGAAATATGTCCTGGGGTGTGGCGAGACCAAGGTGGGCAGGGAGGTGGAGAGAGGGGGCAGGCAGGGAGTGGCCCACTCAGCTCTTTATCCAGGTGTGGGAAATCTACTTTCTCACCAACTACAGCTCACACCCACTTCCCTGAGGGCACCTTCAGCCAGCCAGAGAATAAAAACATGATCTGTGCCAGGTACCAGTGGCTCGTGCCTGTAATCCTAAACTACTCAGGAGGCTGAATCTCAGGAGGCTGAGCCTGGGCAGCAAAGTCCATTTCATCTCCAATTAACCACCAAATAGTCAGAAGAGGAGGAGGTAGCAAAGTGCCAGCCTTGAGAGAGAGAAAAAAGCTACACAACCCCCCCCCCCCCAACACATCCCAGAGCCGAGTCTGCATGTGCTAGAGTGGCTGCCTGCTGAAGGAAAACAAAGTTATCAACCCAGTGTTTCTTGTTTTTGCTTTTGTTGGTTGTGGGGCTTGAACTCTGGGCCTGGGCATTGTCCCTGAGCTCTTCAGCTCAAGGTGGGCACTCTACCACTTAAGCCATAGCACCATTTCCAGCTTTCTGGTGGTTAACTGGAGATGAAAGTCTCATAGACTTTCCTGCCTGGGCTGGCTTTGAACCATGATCCTCAGATCTCAGCCTCCTGAGTAGCTGATAGGCATGAGCCACGGGCCCAGCCTAAGGTCTGGGATTCTTAACGGTGTAGCAGAAATGCAGCTACTTATGAAGGAAACGAGCGGGTCTGTAGCTCACGGTTTCAGTGGCTCAGAGCCCACCACACCTGACCATGGCTGCAATTTCACATCCGCCTGGCTTTTAGAGTCCTTCTGGCTTCTAGTTTGAGAGGGGGTGTCACTTTCCGTGTGAGGTGGCTCTCAGTGGCCATCCTCTCTGTCTCTGCCACCCACGCTGGTTTCACAGGCATGAGCCACCGTGCCTGGCCTGGGCAGCAGCGTCACATCTGCCTCCAACCCGCCCCGAGCTCCCAGCCTGGGGAAGCCTGGGCTCTGAGGCTGGGGGTGCGCCTAGCCGGCTCGGCCCTTCCCAGGGGCGGCACGGGGCAGGGGGGGCTCCAGGCCGCGCGGGACCTCACCCTGCGGAGCTGGACCGGGAGCAGAGGCCAGCGGGCGGCCTGGCCCAGCACGTCCCGTCAGCTCGCTCGGGCCGCAAGGGCAAAACACTTCCCTCAACTCCCGCTGTGCGCAGCCCAGCGTCCCGGGGCGCAGCGCGGGCACGTGCGCGTGCGCCCGTGTGCCCGTGTGTGTGTGTGTGTGTGTGCGTGCGCGTGCGCCCGTGTGTGTGTGTGTGCGTGCGCGTGTGCCCGTGTGTGTGTGCGTGCGCGTGTGCCCGTGTGTGTGTGCGTGCGCCCGTGTGTGTGTGTGCGTGCGCGTGTGCCCGTGTGTGTGTGTGTGCGCGCGCGCGTGCGCGTGTGCCTGTGTGTGTGTGTGTGTGTGTGTGCACGCTCGCGCACGCGCGCGCTCCCTCTCTCTCTCCTTAACGAATGTCTCCACCTAGCGCCCTCCGCGCCTGCCGGGAACCGAGCCGGTTTCTGCTCAGGATTACACCAGTCAATTATGAAGACCGAGCCCAAGCCGCCAACCGTCCGGAGGCCACAGCTCGGCCCGCGAGGAGAAACCAGCGCGGGCAGGACGATGGGCCGCCGTCCTCAACTCCGGGGTCCAAACGGGGAGCAGGGGCGGCGCACCGAGACGACAGCGGCCCTTCCTCATTCAACGAAGTCGCCTCGGGGATCCCCGTGCCACTCCAACTGCCCCGAGCCCCGCCCCTGCCGGGAGCCCCGCCCACCTCGGGAGCCACTCACGCCCTCCCTGGGGGCTCCCCGTGCCACTCGAACTGCCCCAGCCAACGGAGCCCCGCCCCTGCCGGGAGCCCCGCCCACCCCGGGAGGGACTCACGCCCTCCCTGGGGGCTCCCCGTGCCACTCAACCTGCTCCAGCCACTTGAGCCCGCCCCCACTGGGAACCCCGCCCACCTCA